TTTCTGTATGTAAATCCCATTTCCTTTAGGCGATGTCTTACAGTTCAGTCACAGACATTGATCCCAGTTTCTGCCCATTTGTTCCTCATTTGTTTTGTTGTGCATTTTTTGTTTAGGGGCATATTGCTTTAAGTTTTATATCTTGACGCTTTGATGTCTTCCTTGGTCTACCAGTATGCTTCCCTTTTACAACCTTCCCATTTGATTTGTACTTGGTCCAGATTTTAGACACAGCTAACTGGGAACAACCAACATCTTTTGCAACATTCCATGATGATTTACCTTCTTGAAGAAGTTTTATAAACCTCTCCTTTGTTTTAACTGACATCTCTCCTGTTGGAGCCATGATTCATGTCAATCAGCTTGGTGCAACAGCTCACCAAAAAAATGTGAATTTATTATTTTTTTCAAAAGGTAATTTTAGCCTTTAACCTCCCTAGTGGTCTGATTATGTCCATATTTCTGTGTTTTATAAACCTCTCCTTTGTTTTAACTGACATCTCTTGTGTTGGAGCCATGATTCATGTCAATCAGCTTGGTGCAACAGCTCACCAAAAAATGTGAATTTATTATTTTTTTCAAAAGGTGATTTTAGCCTTTAACCTCCCTAGCGGTCTGATTATGTCCATATTTCTGTGCTCAAAGCGGTACATTTTTTTGCATGGAAATATGTATTTTTTTTATTGTAGGCCTGTAATTTGTAGGAATAACTCACTGAAATATAGCGCCAAGTTCGCACATCACTGAGCAAAGTCGCAAAATCGTTTTCAGTGTCTGATGACGAATTTCCCCACGAATCATTATCACTCAATTCTGCAAGTAGTTCTAATTTACTATCGCTGTTCTCTAGCTGGTCTAAAACCGCTTTTGACCTAAAGCAGTGTTTCTCAACTCCAGTCCTCATGGACCCCCAACAGGTCATGTTTTCAGGATTTCCATTATTTTGCACAGGTGATTTGATCAGTTTCACTGCCTTAGTAATTACCACAGCTGTTTCATCTGAGGGAAATCCTGAAAACATGACCTGTTGGGGGTCCATGAGGACTGGAGTTGAGAAACACTGACCTAAAGGGACACTTTTTGGACGCCATGGACATTTCTCAGTTTCCAGGCAGAAAGAACAGTAAAAATGGAGGCAGGGCACAGGACAAAGCACTCGGGACAAAATGTATGTGAAATGCTTTGATACAGTAATGTTTTACTATGTGATTTTAGTGATTTTAGTGAATGTCACTTTTTGTTATTTTCAAATTTCCCTCTGTTCCCTCCCCCGTACGTCCCGACGCTCGCAGAGGACGGAACCCAAATGACAAATGACGGATTACATTGCCGGGGACACTGCAGGAGGGACATCGCGGGAGCGCAGGACAAGGTAAGTGATCGAGGGATCAAGCCTGAGTGTAGCTCGGGGTTACCGCTTGTGGTACTGAAACTTTACCCCAAGCTACACTCGGGAATACCGCCAGGGAGGCTATGGAGTGCCTAACACCTAATGTGACATTACTTCCTATGTAAACACACTGTGAAGGTATTGTTTCACATTGGGGTTGATTTATTAAAGGCAAATAGTCTGTGCACTGCCTGTGCACCTGCAAGTGCACTGGAATTGCAGTTGCTTTATATCCAAGGGGAAGCTCTAAAATGAGGTGAAGCTATGCTTCTTTCATCCAATCATGTGCAAGCAAAAATGCTGTTTGTTTATTTTCCTTGCATGTTTCCCTCAGATCTAGAGTAACTGCACTTTCAGTGCACTTCACAGTGCATTTGGAATGCACTTGCAGTGCACAGCCTATTTGCCTTTAGTAAATCAACCCCATTGTGTTTCCTATACTCTGATACTGATAAAGTCCAGAGCACAGCAGGCTACATGTTGAGTGATGAGTGGATGCTTGTTGGGAACTTCTGGTATATGTGGTATTCCTTTGGAATCTAAAGACAAAAACAAGAAAATGTATTTAGAGTTTTCAAGGGTTGCACTCAATTAAATCAATGCTGTTTCATTTACTATGTTACTGAAAAAAACAGTTTGGAGACATTTTCAGAAGTATTAGTAAGGACCACAAAGGCTTCAAAAAATTGGCATTTTTATTTACATTGTGGTCCACCAATTTCGTAGTAAATATCTGCACCAGCTATATCCCTGATATAGTATTTAAAGTCAACTGTATTTTTTGAGTTTTCAAATGCAGGTCTTTTTTCCCTTATTAATAGTATGCTTTGGGTTCTCAAGAATGAGATCTGCAGCTGGCAAAAAGGTGGATAAGGATCAGTTCCTCTATGTAGTAACAGCTGTTTCTTAAGTCGACCCTGCTATCAAGCCAAATCCATATAAAACAACTCCCTGTACAGAAGAATGTATATGCTTATCTCTCCTGCAGTGCACGCCATTGATCCATGAAGAGGATTAATCGTGTGAAGTTTCTTCTAAAGCATATACTTTCAGAACTGTAAATATATTGTGTGACTGCATCGCCCAGTGGTTCCTCTCACTGACCTCCACACCAATTTTGTGTCCTGAAGTGACATGGAGGTTGGTGAGAGGTACTATTGAGTGCTGCAGAAGGTGGTGTCTCTTCAATGGAGTGGGGTTTTGAGACATTGGCAGCAGACGTTGTAAGTATTTTCATGCTTCTTTACAGGGAGATGTTTTATCTGGAATTTAAGCTTGGCAACAGTGATGCTTTACTGTATTTTTTGTGTTGGTCTTGTTGTAGATGAATTTCAAAAGCAAAATTATATATTAGTGTTAATTCTCTTTGGAATTTTAACTTCTTTTCCCATAACCTGTTCAAAAATACTTTAAAGTGGGAGCAGGTGGCCATTCAAAATATTTTATGGGGCAAGTGATTTTTAATGTTGAAAATTATATAGTCACCTGCAAACAAAGGATAATAAATGCCAATCTGGATGTAAGGCTTCTAATTACCCAATCTACTTAGTGTGTACATTACTTCAAACTATTGAAATGAAGCAAGATCTTTAGACAGTAGCCATGCTTGTTTAGGCTGCCAAGAAATACATATTGCTGAAATGACTACTCTTAACAAAAGTGATGTATAGGTGGGCATATATGAATTCTTATCACATCCAAACTAGAAGAGGATAGGCTGTAACAGCAGAAGACCATTTCTGTAAGCTAAGAAGAAGAACATAAAGCTGTGGTGAGCATGGGACCACCAAAGTGAGATGACGTAAGATTCAAAGAAAGGATGAATCCAATAATTGATGTGACAACAGGTTGGTAGTTGCGCAATAGTAATAGAGTTTGCATGGTCCACAATACTTAAAGTATTATGCGCAAAAGAAAAAAATAACTTTATCATTAATACAGCAATGTTTGTTTTCTCAGATTCCTCCTTTAACATAGTATTAATACTGTTGATCATGTAAGTAGATTCATTTATTTTTCCATTTACTTAACAGTGTTACAATGCTGTTCTTTTTGCAAAGAAATTACTGCAGCAATTCCACCTGATAGCTTCACCTAGGGTAGTTTAGATGGACATGTAGCTTTCATTGGACTGTAAAGTGGTTGAACAACCTTGCATATAACCAGTGAAGTGTCTAACCTCTCATGATACACAGAGATTAAATAAATCCTCCCACATAGGTTGTACCTGTTTATCTGCAGCCATCTGTCCTATATAGTCTAAAACACAGAGTTTACACAGAATCATTCAGCATCTCTCAGCAGCACAAAGCAAGGGGTGGGAATCTGAATTCACACACTCCACAGCTTGGGAAGAAGAACTCTGAACCCTGATTGGAGGGAAGGGACACACCAGCTTTCACCCACTACACAAATAACATACAGAGCTGTGACTGTCAGTCACAGGTTGTGTGCTGAAGCTCTTCTCTCCTGCCAGTATTTTTCTCTTGGTGTCAGGGAAAAGCTTTCAGATGTGACTTATACAGAAATCAAAAGAATGAGGCAGCAGAGAGAAATCACACTCAAAGCTTTGGATAGAAACAGGTACACTACATAGAAGGATGTGTGTTCAGATTTCAAGTTTAAGATTTAGAACTGCTTTAACTATTTGACAAATTAAAGCCCAACTCCAGCAAACACTTTAAGCAGTTACAGCTTTTTTTTAACTATATGAAAGGAAGATTCTCATTGTGAGCACTCCAGCCAAGATTGTATGGTTTGTCCTAAAACTTGTAACTGTAATTTTTGCTACAGACCCTAGCAAGCATCTCTGATGGTAGAGAAAAATTTATAAATAAGGGCAATTGAAATGAAATGAAATAAAAAGCAGGATTCATATACTAAAAGCTATAATTACAGTTAACAACTACATACTGTTATCAGAAATTCATCATATATTCACTATAGTGAGTCTTTAAAATATGTTTTCTGCACATTGCCAATTCTAATTCTTCAAGAATTCAGTTTGTTCTGAAAAGAAAAAAGTGTCCATTTGCACTATATACAGTAGATTTGCTTAAAGTTTATATAAACCTAATCAGGTTATGAGCCCTATATGTGTTTGCTGCATTAGTTTTCTTTCATCAGGGTGACAATAGTCATTTACAGTACTGTATCTATGGAGCAGGGGCGGACTGACCATTAGGGAACTCAGGCACTGCCCGAGGGCCCTGGGTCAGGAGGGGGCCCCCATGAGATGCCCCTGGTACCTTTCATAGGCTTTTTTGGGTTTGGTTTGAGTGTAGGTAAGGGCCCCATGATCCCCTATTGCCTGAGGGCCCCATGAGTTGTCGGTCCGCCCCTGCTATGGAGTTGCAGTGTTGTCAATGTTGTCAATTAATCAAATGATATAAGTCGTGGGACTTGTAACAGCATATGATCTTACTGAACATTTAATTCATCATAGTTGAGGACATAAGTGTCTGGACCCTACACAGCATGGCATCCTCCTGGTGCAAACTGCACTTACACAACCATACGACTGTCCACCATTCTCCAACACTTTGCATTACTCCAATTTTTGACTATATAAGGAGGCTAGCCCATAGTGCTCTGAGTAATGGTCTGACAGACGACAGGTGCGAGTTGCTGTCTGGCTATACATACTCTTGACTATATGGCCATACTGATGACATCATGTTTTATTTTATTTTACTTTTAAAGGAGGACAGACAACATTGTCTGCGGTGAGGTGATGGCTATTGTTTTTTGTTCATTGCTTTTTAATTCATCTTTGATTTCTACAGGGCACATATATTCAATACTGTATTAAATGCAGTTTAGTAAAATATTTGCGCATGGTTTACCGCATTGGTCCATAATGTATTGCTACATTTTTTTTGTGAAAATAACCCAAATCAGAGCATATATATATATATATATATATATATATATTTGAAAATTGATCAATTCTGGTGTACTGATGGCTTATCTCATTTCTTGAGACCCAAAAAAGTCAGGACAGTACAAATACTGCCAAATAAGCCCTTTTTGGAAAGTAAACAGTTCGAGGTATTTAGTAAGAGGCATGGGGAGTTTTTTGAGGTTCTAATTTTTTGTCACAATTTTTTCCAAAAATTAAAAAACATTTTTCAAATATTTTTTTACATACTGTCACCAATGCAGTACAGCAACATCATATATCTATTTTTTTCTTTTTTCTTGCAATTTTTAAACTTTTTTTTACATTTTATTTATCTATTTTTTTACATACTGTGTACACAGCAATACAGTGTTGCCATAGTAACATTGTACTACTCAGGAAGGTGATTAGCATTTTTTACACACTATGATTGCTATAATAATCACTGTTATAAGCAAACATTTTTTCTATTCGTTCAGTGTGTACTATTGTGATTAGCTGTGATTGGCCACAGATAATCACTCGGTACAGAAGGCTGTTAATGGGCTTCTCCATACCATGTGATCACTATGATGACATCACTGTGATCACTGTAGCAATCACATGGTATCAGCAGCGGCCCGGTACAACGGTCTGTTATCTGCTGTGGGGCGCACGCGAGGCGAGATCCTGGGAAGACGTAATATTACATCCACCCAGGATGGGAGAGCAGTTAAAGACTATATTGAGAGCTGGAAACAATGTTAATTGAACAGTCAGCAGGGGAAGTGAATGAGGAAAACTATCAGCTCACAATATTTCTGGCACAATCCACCCTTTTTTCTTTTTTGCATTAATTGAACTGATATAACAAAACATTTTCAATTGTATTTAACTTTCCATTTAATTAGTAATTTGCATTTAACAGACCAAAGGTGGCAAATAAGAGAAGTTCATTGTTAGGGTTTACATACATTTTAATAAAGTCCCCACAGAGTCAAACATTTTGATTACCAAAGCGATAGTGGCAATGACAGTATATGTTCATAATTGTAATGCAGGGTAGTTTGCGTGCAGCATCATGGATTCATTTTTAATACAAATCACACAAACCTGTTGTAACTGCTGTTTTGTCACTTCAGGAAAATGAAAAAATGAATAAAACTGCCTAAGGCATTGCATCAACCAAATCATAGGAAAATCACTAAACAACTAAACTTGATGCTTTAGTCCCTAAGAAGTGATAATGTGATGCATATTTAAAAAATGACATTGCCATCTTTCCTCTAGCTAGCTTCCTTTCTTAATATTTTCTCTTCTTGAATCTACTTATTTAAAATATGACACATTTGTCAAGCCATGTGTCAGAACTTATAAATGGCTATTGCACTGCAGTTGGTTCATTGAGGAAAGTTATTTCCATACTAAAAGCATAATGCTTGCTTTGCAAGAGCTTTCTAAAATGCTGAGATGAATCTTCAGAGAGAATTTTACAACAACACTAAACCAGTGTATAGCTGAATAGGTAATTGAAATGATAAGAAATCTCGGATGGGGAGGATAAGCACAATTGACTTGTGTTAAAAAACATCCTGCTTCATTAAGTTTTAATTGCTTAAAATAACACTAACACATTACTTTGCCCAGAAACCATAGCTGTTAAGGAACATATCTGAAGATATATCAGTGGTAAAAGAAATTGACCTTCACAATGAAGCTAAACATACTAGTAATAATGAAAGCTTAATTACTAATGAATCCCTTGCAAGAAATACATAGTTCAAATAAAAAAGAGGAAAAACAATAAAAAGAAATGAAACATTAACAGCATTACTTTCTTTCTCTAAAATGCATGGTTCTTTTGAGCAAGTTGAATACCCTGTAGCCCCATGACCTAAGGAATGAACACAGCAGCACTTTTGGCCAAACTGAAATTATTGAACAGCAACACAACTGTTCTTTTAGCTGTGCACCAGATTAATGGCCAACAAACTCTGGATTATTGTACAACATGCTGTACATAATACATTAATAACATTTATTAAATATACACAAACACAGGGTAAGCCTGGAATTATATTATGTGTCTGTTGCCCCAGCTCTTGCCATACTAATTTTAAAGGAAATGAGGAAAAGTAAGAGGCAGATGGTGTGCAGAATAGGACAAGGACAGACAAGGACCTGAAGCAGATGTAAAAACAATGTAAAAGGTGCAGCATGTTTTTTTTGTCCTCCAATTTTTGTTTTTAATATGTTTTAGTATAAGAAATAAGGTACAATCAGAAGATCAAGGTTTACACCCAAGTGCGGACTGACAACTCATGGGGCCCCCGAGCAATAGGGGATCATGGGGCCCCTGTGTCCTTGCCCAAACTCAAAAAAAGTCTATGAAAAAGGTAGCAGGGGTATCTCATGGGGCCCCCTACTGACCCGGGCCCTCGGGCAGTGCCCGAGTTTCCAAATGGTCAGTCCGCCCCTGTTCACACCACATCCTAAAGTAATTAAATCAAAAACATATGAGACTTTTTAGGTGACCAGTCCAGCAATGTCAGCACACTCTCAGGCTTCACATGGTTAACACACTCCTGCTAGGAGCGGGAGCGAGCACAGAAGTTTTCTGCTGAGCCTGCGTGTTAGCCGCGTGAAGCCAGAGAGTGTGCTGACATCACTGGACTGGCCAGAGAACTCTGCGCTGCATGTCTTTTCTGGCAAATGGCTGAAGTTAATAATCACAGCACTCACTCCTGTAACTGAAAAGAACCTCTGACAACCGTACTTACAGATAAGTAGAAGGATACCTATGATTTAAAGGGGACCTACCATGACTTAAAGGGAACCTGCCTAACCATTACTTATTGGAATTATACTGGAGATATTACCAGATAACTGGATAGAGTGCTTTTTGACCTGTATATATTTATATAGGTCCACTGGCCAGATGAGCAAGCATTACTACTGGTGGTGGAGCTCTACACTTTTTGGGTGAACTAAAGAATTTTTGATGAATTCTGTTAATTAGACTTTCATTTGTCACTAATTTTTGTTTGTGTCTTATGAGTGTTTGTTTCTTGGCACATCTTTTGAGTTGGATTTAACAAATAGTGTTGTATATGTTTATATGGGAATAATGTAACATTTAATGTATGGTGTCACATATACTTTTATGGAAATGTACTTTATGTTATAGAAGTAGCACATCACTATTTTTAGATTGCTGGCTGTTTGCTGGCATGATTATGGGAACACATTATAGCTATATGTTGCAGTTCCCGAATTTATACTTTATAGGGTTTTTTTTATTGATCAAACCTGGGTACCATGTTAATCATACATAATCAATATATGTGTTTAATTTTAAGTTCATATATCCAGGACTAGTGATTGCCTGCTAATAGTTAATTGGTAATAGGTATGGCCTCACTCAACCTGTTTTGCATATTGCTTTATTAGCCGTAGGGTGCAAAAAACATAAATCCTAGCAATACGTTTACAATCATATAATGTGGCACACAATTGTTTAGTCAAAACATGAACTTGGAAAGAAAACCAAAACTCACAGAAAAGTAACTGCTGTGATGCCTATTAATTGTATTGAGATTCCATATTTTGACATAGGACTCAAGGGACCCCCACACCTCTAAGAACCACTGATAGGAGAGGTGTGAAGAACAGCCCTATAAGTCATGTATAAGTCATGTATTATTTACAAGAAAAGATCATCAATTAGGAATTAAATTGTAAGAGTCCATTTATTATAATGGTCAACCGAAACATACTCTTCAGTATGTGTTTGTATATGTTTTGGTCTGAATATATGCTTTATATTATTTCGAATATTAGGTATTATGAATTATTAGATGAAATTACAAATTTTGCTTTCAGTTTTGTTGAGAGGCCACACTTAAAGTCCAGCAATATGTTTTATTTTTTATTTAATCTGTTTTAGTTCAACTTATTAAGCACAAGAAATTAATTAATGCATACAGAACTACCATCTCTATGCATGCCCTACTCTACATGGTGTTTCCTTCCTAAAATATGACAAAGAAAAGAAAGAGTTGTAGACGCCAATTTGTCCTGTTCTCTCATACTTCAATGTCTTTAGCTGAACTGCCCAAAAGATTATCTTTTGAAATAAGAATTTTCTCCTTCTTGATCTCTTGACATAAATTCAACTAAGTAACAACATTTAAAAAAGCTCTTAGAGCAAAACATGTTTGCCATTGAAGAGGATCATGTAAACTAGCGATGTTCAATTCAATTTGCTGGCCGCATCATCATTATGGTTGCCCTCAAAAGGCCAGTTTTATCTGTAAGACTATTTAAATGTGGCTACTCTTTATCATAATAAATAATTGCCTCTACATTTGATTATTACTGGTTTTAGTAAAAACTTAAGACTTAAGTTGTGAAGGGCAGGTGCAAATCAGCACTGAGCCCGCTCACACTCCTGTAGCAAATGATGTAAGTCTGAAAAGGAGGGTCACACACCGCTGGTATAATCCACAAGAAATTTCATTAGAGCTTTCTCATACAGAACATGGTTCTGCCATGGTGTTTTGTCTGAGCAGTCTCCAATAAAGGTTCTAGTAGTTAATACCAGCGATGTGCGACCCTCCTTTTCAACTGGAATTGAATTGTACTATTCTCATAATAATGCTAAGCAGATGCCCTGAGCACACTGTGACGATTGCGGCATCAGACCCCTGACCTTCTCACCAAACTCGTGACCGAAGGACTAGCCAATCTAAAACCGCGATGTCACGTGCGTAACAATGCCAAGCCCAGCTGCACCCTGCACAAAAATTTGCCAGCTAATGGACCAC